CACCGCGTGGGGGGGGGGGCACGGAATCACCAAAATCGGACTTTACCTACCAGATTCATCTATGTCAGCATCTTCATCCCATTCCTGGAAAGCACGACTCTCATCTTTTCTATTTTTCACCCATTCCTCATCAGGTTCCATCTCAAGATCTGCCGCAGGACCACTATACCAATCACCTACTCACCACCACCCCAAAAAAAAGGTAGGCAAAAGGGAAAAAAAAAATTAAAGAGAAACTTCTCATCACTGCAGAAAATAGCAGTGATAACTTCTCAGTACACTGCAACCTGACCTAAAGATTAATTTTGCACTCATCTCAGCTGAGGTTGGACTGAGCCTTGACATTACTGTTTTATCTGTATTTTAAAGCTTCAAAAGTTTCCTGGAATAGTTTTGGTGCCGCTACAGAATTCACAGCCTATTATGCTCTTCTGAGACACGTCTGTTGTCCTTATTTTCTTAGTAGGGACCAATATGATTGCAAACATAACAGAAATTATTATGGAATATTTGGATGGTGTAGGTGCTGAAGTTCTTCCTGGTAGATAAAGTAACCACCAACTTTTAATGTAACACTTGGTTTAAAGACATTTCCATTTTCCTCTGGAATCTCACAAATACACAGCCAATCTGGGTGTATTTTATTAGCCTGTTTTTAGCCATTGCACATGACAACTCCGGGATCAAGAAACCCACGTTCCAGAAGTAGCCTACTTACAACAGCTATACAACACTTGATTATAACATACGTATGACTCAAGTCAATAGACAATAATTTTTTAGAACACGTGGATGAACATGAACACCAGAAACAGCTCCACTGTTACAGCTGGTAGGGCAGCCCCTCTCCCCAAGGGTTACTGCACAGGCGCAATTCACTTCCAGTATACTTGGGGTATATTGCAGTGCTGGGCTTGGCGTAAGCACCTCTGCTGCCTCCCTCAGCAGAGACGTGCTTAAAACAAAAACCACTTCTCCTGCTATTTCACTAGTGGGGGATCCTACTATCGCCAAAACAAGAGCAACCCCTGATGAGTGGTATCTAAAGGAACAAGGTTTCTTATATGAGCAACACAGTGCCAATGAAATCCTAATTGATCCCCAGCCAACTGTGAAGCAAAAGGTTTTGGTAAGATTTCTCATCTTTAACCCATCTTTATAACACAGAAAAAGTCTCAGAAGCCCTCTCTGTATTAGGGAGAAAAAAAAAAAACTAACTAAGCCTGTGGTTTTATGTTCTTTTTTTTCCCCTTTTGGCAGTAAATCCTATTTGAGAAGCTTCCACCCAGTTTGGAGCACTTCTGGACAAACAACTGCACAGACAGTACATCATGGACCTAGCTTCCTGTTCTGCCAAAACCAGGTTTAAGTATAAGTTATTTTAAGCAGCCACCAGTTATCTTTTTTGTGCAGGTACTGATTTATTGAGACAACCAAATTTTCTTTTTCTTCTAAAACTTAACAGTTTAAACTCTGAAACACTTCCTCTCCACTCAGTCTTTTGTAGCTCAGGGACCAATCTATTATTTTCAGTAAGATTTATCCAATCAAAAAAAAAATTAATTCAGACCCAAAAGTCATTTAACTCCCCTCTGCCTTGTACAGATTTTAGAAGTCATAAAGGTCCAGCCTGAAAGAAGTTTTTAGCTTTTATGTATCTCAAAATTTAAGTTATATATTGCTAGTTTTCTCTCTTTAAAATCTTACAAAGGCACATAATATATGGCTTATTAAACAGCACAGATTGGCTCCTTTTCACTCAGCTACACCGACATGGCAGCAATTGTGAAGCCTGCAATGCCACAGTCCAGTGACTGTTTAATACCCACATAAATATGGACAAATACAAATAGAAATATTTGAAGTTACAAATATACCTTGATGACTTGCAACCGGCCTCACTGGAATACAGGCTATTTTGTTTATTTGAATGGGTACCTTTGCAGAGGTTACACCTCTCAATAGGAAATTTTAATTAACAGGAGATTTTGAAGAACAGAAGTTATTAAAAAAAACACTTAGCTCTTGCCAGAAGCACGCTCAGCTGTCAGGTTCATTGTACATGCCAGCCTATACTAAAACGTTCTCTTCTATAGACTCAGAAATTCTGGTAATTGACATGCTTTCAAAGGAAAAATCAAATTTAACTTACCTCTGGCCCAGCGAACAGGGTAAAGATGCTTCCAGAGAGATCCAGTTTTAGCCAACTGCGACCATTCAGTGCTTACTTGACTACACTGACATAACTCTTGGGGGTTAAGGTAACTGAAAATGGTCAGCATTACTTCAGGAGGAAGATTAGTAATATTTGTGGTGTGCCCTGTTACTTCGGTTTCTGAAATACAGAAAGTGTCTGTTAAGTGAAGCACAGCCTCACAGCTTTAAAGAATAGTGGAATTCACATTTTGACTAGGGCAATGAAACAACAGTGTCTGAAAAAAGTTTTAAACAATTGGCAAAAGAGTTGAAAGCCTTCACTGTAATGCCACCTTAAACAAACAAAAAAAATCAGCTCAGTTCTCTGTTTGCCATTTTACCAACTTGATATTTTTTTTCCAACCCTGACCCCCCAAGGGTCCAAAAAAAGCCCTGGACAAAAATAAACTGCTGCTACTCAACCACAGCAAGATGAAAGCAGTATCTGCTATAAATGAAATGCTTTAAAAAAAAAAAAAAAAGAAGCCTTATGTCATAGATGATATATATACCTGCTTTGCCACATTCCCAGGAAGCAGTACAAGCACTCAGAATCTACCAGCTGGGACCACTCTCAGAGAAAGCGCTCAACCTCTCAACTGGACCCAGCAAGAAGTCCATGCTTAACTCTTTGCAGCCATCTCATATTTTATTTCTAGCTTTAACTGCTAGCAAAGACAATTAATTTTAACTTCTGAATGGTGACAAGCCATTCAGGTTGGAAGGCAATACTAAATATTAGGTTAGAGGCTAAAATTTGACCACTGTAATTAATACTTCAATGGACAGCAGTAGGAACCACCTCCAATAGGTCTCCCTTATCACCATAGTACAGAGCGTGCTGCAAACAACATAAAACAACAAATTTAGTGCTTTTGTTAGTGGGGGCTTTTTGCTGCTTTAGGAGAATTTTTAATACTTTGTTTAAGGATAGTTTACTTGAGGGAAAAAAATATTTCTAAAATAGTTTTCAGGAGACCTTAGAAATAGCAGGTTTCACAAATCAGCAGGGATTTATTTTAAAAGTTAGGATACAAAGTGCTTTACAGTGAAAAAAAAAATAAGGGTTCTTTTTGCAATGAAGCTTCAAAAGTTAGGATAGTACAAACTTGACCCTGTGACAGTCTACTGCAACTTCAAAAAATGTAATTAAACACCATTTCGCTTCATAAATCAATATATTTATTCATATACCTGGGAAGTCACTGCAGGTAAACTACAGAGAATTTCACACTAAAATGCAGTTAAAACTGCACAGGACTGTAAGCTATGTTATTTTCTTCCATTTTTTAAGAAAATGGATGCAGGACACATACTTTCTTCTCCCTAAAGTATAGAACACAACCACTGCGGAATTATTACTGTCCCAAACTGCTATTCCAGCTAGACTTAACAGCAAGTAATGCCATAAGGCTACGTCTGTCACATTCATCTGTTCAGACTCAAAGAGTATTTCACACCATGGACCATGATCTTTTCTGAAGGTTTCACCTGGAGGGCAGAAAATGACCAGTTCAGTAGTTCAGAGAAATAAAGTTTCATCAAAAAGAAAAAAAAGTCAGGTTACAGAGTAGTTTTTCAAGTTTTGCTAATGAGAGCACCATATCTTATCAACACGACAAAGTCAGTTCACAAGGACTTCTCTACTTATCAGTCTCACACCCCAGTGTTACCCTTCCGCTACATTAATTCCCCCCTTCTTTGGGGCATCAGCTCTTCTTAGTTAAGAGTGAAAACTGCACACATGGACAACTGAGGCTGCTTCAACAGTCATAAAACAAGTCATAAAACAAGCTTGAAGTGCACTTTAGTAGTTAACCATTCATTCTAAGTTTCATCAGGAAGGGTAGTTACAGATGAACGCAAATTAAATACCCACTTTCAGAACGCACGTTTCATCTGACCTACTCACATGCTGCACGGATTCATGCCCTTGCATCACTCCACACACACAGTTTCTTCCTTTCTGATTCCTGAGAGACCCAGGGAAGTTGGGCAGTGGAGTTGGGGAAAGTGAGTTGCTTTTAATTTGAAATACTGTCAGTTGGCTAACTATTCTGTGTTATTAAACCCTCAACAGAAGAGCTTACAAAGCTGTCCTGAAAACCAAGAATTAAATGCAGGGTCTGCAAATAGAAAATATAATTTCAGTGGAAGTTTGAAATGAGAAGTTAATTATCATTTCTGCCTGTTTATTATACCAAATATTACCATGGGAGGGAAGGGAGAAGAAGGTTGAGAACAGGTAAACAGTGAAGTATTATCTACATTATAAACTGCCAAGAAGCCTGTATCAAGCAGTAAAGTTCCTGAAGTTTCAAAACTGGTTTGAAGAAATTCCCATTTTATAAAAACTATTTTATCTGCCAGTACGTAACTTTAGGTATGTCACTGCTGTAGCTTTTTAGATAAAAATCACAGTTTGGAAATTACTTTAACTTTAATTAGATGCTTCACCTTGATCCGCCTTCTCATCCACAGAATATTTAAAGACCTTCTGAAGCTCTTCTGCTTGATTCCACTTACTAAGACCTCTGAATTCTGCAGCCTCCTTCTGTGAGCAATGCTGTGCAATTACTTTCTTCTTAATATCTTTCAATTCTTCGTAAGTAAAGTATTCCATCAACATTGGCTGAAAAACCTAAAGCAAAGGAAGAAGGGGAAAAAAAAAAAAAGTCTGGTGCTGACGGAGATAGTCGATAATGCTACAGACCTACCAACACAGAATTTCCTGTTTCAAATTCTCTCCAAGTAAAACATGTCATACATTAAGTGAACCTAAGGACAGGACCTTGGAAGTTTTGAGTTCCAACCCTCTGCTTGCCAGTCTCAGACAAGCTGCTCAACCACTTTCCCCAACAGAAAAGGGAGGTGATTAAACTTGCTTAAACTATATCACTTATCAAGGTACTCACACGGAAGGCAAAGTTGCAAGGAAGAAAAACATGAGAAAAGATTTCTCTTGGACAGACTTCGGAAGATTTACTCTCTCCAGAAGATGCTTCCAAGTTTTTGGATGCGCATAAATCATCAGACTGGCAGTACTAGTCTACGCTTCAAATATAGGTCAGAGGCTGTTTGGGAGTGTCAGCTGGAGTCATGAATCACTGGTTTACAGGACTTCTCTTTTTCCTTTAATTTTTTCTACATATCCCCCTAAATAACTACCTGCTGCCAACAAATCCCAGCCCTGGTGGACTTTCGTTACCAATTTTTTAAAGGACCAGAATTGAATCATAAATTTTCAGTACAGTCACTGTTTCAGAATGTGTCACTTTGCAGTCAGAGAACAGAACAATGATACCACAGTCCTGACTGCACAGTGGCATAGTAATAAAAACAGAGAACTGCAAAAAAACTGAACCTCTAAGCCCTTTGTCTCTACTCAGTCATGTCATACCACAAGGAAGATCAGCATAATACTTGAGGAAGATTTTTACCTACCTCCTCTTCCTCTTTCATGTGAGGAAGGAAATCCCTGGTAAAGGCTTCCAATCTCTCCTTCAGCTGTTTCGCATAGTTTAGCTGTTCATATTCATTCTGAGAAGAAAGCGAAGGTTTAACAATTATCTAATCTTGTCCATCCATCCAAGGGTCAAACTGTTAAACAAACCAGTGCTTCCAAGTACAGCCCGCTATGTCTTTCCCGTGCATGCAGCGTGTTTGCTCTATTTCATGGTAAGAAGGTGTTCACTTACAGAGTTTCATGACAAGCTGACAGTCCGTACTGGCCTGTTACTAGGCGGAACAAAGTAGTCCCTTCCTGCTCTATTCCAATTTATTTTGCTATCAGATACGAATTAACTTGTCTAATCACACTTTTACTTGGGAGCAAAGACTGAAGTCTGCCAATCTAGTCTCACCCAAAGTTCAAAGTAGTTAACAGACTAAGTGTTTGCATGTTTTGCATAAGAATTATTCTAAGATACAGCAGCTCCACTTCATCTTTTAACTGCATACATTTTACATTGGTTATTCCACAATTCTAGCTTCCGAATTATAGCCAGGATTTATAGTTGGACATGCTCTAGAGATATTTACTTTGGAAATGGAGAGAACTCTTAAATAAAGATGTAACTGACTTTTAGTATTAAAAATTAGACCAACCTCATCTATCACTTTGTTAGTTTGTTCTCTGTGCCAATAATAAGAAGCTGGTTCTGAAGTCTGCCCAGTAATTGCAACATACTGAAGTTCCTCATAGCTCTTACAGTAAGTGTTGTAAGTTTTTCTTTTCAAACTTCTACAACATCAAGAAACCCTGACTATTACAGAAAAAAGCTTAAGCCATCAGCTTAAATTAAACTAACTACTCTCAAAAAAAGTTGAACAGTTAACGTATCTGAAGAGAGCTAGAGAAATCTGGTTTTCCATGCTGAAGAATAACAGAATAATGCTAGCATCCTACCAGAGAAGGTATAACACAAAGCCAAGCATTAAATTTCCCCTCTCCCTCACTTTCCGATTCAGTAATGGAAACAACTTGAAAGAAATTTTAAGGTTTGATATGCACAGGGAAAGAATTATTTGCAGGATTCCCAGGACAAATACAGCCTTAAATAGTGAAACGGAATCAATCAACTGCATATTTAGTATTTTTCTTATGGAAAATATGGATCTTGCATACTAGAAACATAATATGGGATGAAAAATTACTACTGGAGACTATAGTTCTTAAGAGTGCAGAAAGGAAGAGTGGAGTTGTACACCCCAGAGGAAAAGCCACAGCAGAATTCAAGTAGGATTCCACTGGAGAAGAATTTAACAACTTTAAATCATGAAAAAGCCAGCTGGAGAAATAACATTTAGAGTTTCTTGAGGACTGGAACATTAACAGCATTACTGAGCAACAGATTACTGGAAGGAGTACATGACTCACTAACAGGATAAAAAAAACTCAAAAGACACCCCATTGTTTAAGTCCGGTAATCATCTCCATTTGTGACAATAACACAATGCTATGTGCCACAAAAAAGATACTCAGGGTTTCCTAACAAATTAATAAAAAACATTATTTCTATAGTCAGAAACTGTTTTGACCAATTAGCAGAGCAGTCTTTGTATCTGAAACTTCCATGTTGTCTCTCCACAACACCTCCAATCATGCACTGACAGACTTTTGTCACAGAACACACCTCTGAAAAGAACCTTTACTAGAAATTTAGTAACTGTGATGAATGGCAGAAGAATTTGTGTTTTGGACTGGAAAGTTTTCACTACTGCATCAAGAAACCACAAATGTTGTTTCTTCCTCCTTAGTTTATTTGTAGAGACTATTGAGAAAAGTTGAGACAAACTGATACATAATCACAGCACCTTTTCCAAAGGACACAAGTTCTTCTTACAGTCTGCTTACCTTTACATTCTTTAACCCCTTCTCAAAGAGGCTAAGCATCTCTGAGAGTTTGTTGTCCGAGTGTACATTGTACACCGTCCGGCTACGTTGCTGAAGTAAACCAATAATACACTCATTTTCAATCTGCTCATGCATTTTAAATTCCTTGAACGTGGCATAAAGAGATTGCAGAAGAGCCCGAAAATCATTGTTGTTAGAGAAGTTGGTCTTGGAAAGCTAGAAGAAAGAAAAGCTCATTAAAAAAAAAAAAAAAAAAAGAAAGAAATCAATGAAAATCATATCAAGGTTCAATCCTTACAACAGGTCTTAGGCTCCTGCTATTCATTGCTCCCATTACGTATAACATCAAAGCTGAAAACCTTCGGTTTTATGAAGAAAACTGGCAAAAATAAAAATTCAATTTGCAAGTCGAGCAACTCACGTCAAAGATATCAAAAATTAGAGTAATGAATGCTTTTAATTCCAATCTTCAAGCACGATAAATCAAAATCAGAGATTGAAGTGCATAGATAAGAACACACAAACTAGTCTTCTATCTGAATAGTAACTTTCCTGTAATTTGTCTAATTGGTACATTAAAAAATAATTTAATACAACTTCTTCCAGAAATGGGTAGAATTAATACTGTCATTCACATACTACAGATTAACAAGCTTCTATATAACATACCTATTAATAGGACTTCTGAAATTATTCACAGAATTCGTAATTATTTTAACCATGACTGACTTGCCATTTGATTTTTGTTAACAGGAACTGACACAAATTCTATATAAAACCTTCAAACTTGTTCTAAAACTTTCAAAAACTCATTATGCATGGTCATTTCACGCATGTTTCCTCTCACAGTTCATTAAAACGGTGAGCACTTCACACCTGAATTCTGTTAACTCCCCAAAGTAAGTTAACAGAACAGTTTTACAACAATGTTGTGCTTTGTGAATGAGGTTTAAGTAAACTATGGGATTTAACTGGACAATTCTCTGATTTCCAGCCGCAACTACGCAACTGCATTTCCCATCACAGGCTCTGAAGAAAAAAAAAAAAACGAAGCTATGTGTTTTAGCGCTATTACGAGGAACTAATGATAACTACAGAAGTTGAACAAAGCAATATATGCAATAACGCACACTGTAAACAAAAGCATGTTGCATTTAATCACACAAATTCTGAAGGCAACTGTCTCATTCCACATGCATGAACAGAGCTTCAGAAAACAGCGAAGCAGTATGGTAACTTTTTAAATTAAGATCATCCTGGAGAGAACCATGCCCTTATAAGCATTAGCTTTAAGAAGCCAGTAAAATCACAGCTGGTTTTGAGGAACATAAATCAACCTTGTGCAACCTTGAGATAAACAAATGTAGAACGATTTCCTGGTAGAAATCAATGCAATCTCCCCAGCCCGGCAGGTAACTGGAAAGCTGAGCCACTTTCCCAGAACTACATTTTAGTCCTTACTAAGCCATTACCACAGGCCCTGGAGCCTACCTTTAGGGATGTATTACCCACAAGGAACACTAAGTCCTACCGAGTGAATACAACTACACCAGCTATGGAAAGAGTTTCCAACAGACCAAGAACCAAGGCATCAAGACAGCACAGTGTTCTAGGTGACACAGCAGTGCCGTTTTTAAACGCATACAAACAGTCGCCATTAGTAACAGCATTTTAAAACTGCATTTTCCTTTGGTGAATGTAGAAAAACAGTACTTTTTTCCATTCTTATGTTTTATTCCATGTGCAGTTTCAAGAATCATAGCCTACAGCAATATACAAGAGCAAGTATTCTAAAAACAGAAATATTTTAATTTAATTCAGAAAGCAAGCCACTGAAGTATTCAAAAGTGTTTCAGTTTACAAAGATTCTGGAATGTAAGGGTTTTGCTAGAAATGGGAATCTGAGACTTAGGTGTTCATACATAATACTTGCATACATCAAAACCATCCATAAATTGAGATAGTGAAAACTTTTATCATTTTTAAAAAAAAAAAAAAAAATCACGAACCAAATGCACTTACTCATTCTGACATGACATTGCCACTTCCTGGCAACCACTAGCAATGCAACCGAACCACGCTGGACATCTGCCAGGTACTTGTGCAACTCCAGCCCAGCTGTGCATACTGTACGTTACACTCTGTACATATCAGCAAACGCCTGCCACTACAGAAAAACACATTTACTTAGCCTCAGCAGAGATGGAAAATAGGGCAAAGTTAAGGGTTGGGGTTTTTTTCCCCCCCCCCCCCGTATTTTTTAGACCAGCTACTGACATGCCAGAAAAAATTTGTGTGTTTGTGATGCAGTGTGTTAGGATTTGAGGCACGAATTGTTATGCACATATCACAAACGGGAAAAGATCTTGGCCCCGAAGACCATCTCTCTCCTACACTAAGCTCGGAGAAGGCAATATACAGAGCAGAGGTACTAGGTGAAACTACAGGCTAGGCTTTCCATGCTGAAAAGCAGAAGTCTGAACAAGCACAGGAGATGGGTGCAGAAATAACGTCTTCAGGACGGGTTCCTCGCCTCCAGCCATTTGTGATTCAGACCTCAATAACGGTGAAGTTTGGTTTCTAATGCAGCATTTCTCTTGATCAAGGGCTGTCTCAAAATTGTTCATTCTACCCATAAGAATTTACCAAGTCAGTCCCCAAAGACCCTTTTCCCCAAGAATCCCATTTGGTCCCAAATGCTTGGCATTTTAATTCACATAAAAACGTAAACAAGGCTGAAGTATGTAACAGGAAGGTTTGACAAAACTACTGTATTTTGCTGCTAGGTTAAAAAACAAACAAACAAAAAAACACCACAAAATTAGTTCTGATACAAAATAGCATCTTCTTATCCTCCTGACTCAAAAATCTTCCCAGGACTCAAACTTCTGTTGAACCTACCTATTATCATCCACAAATCTGGAATAAATAAAGAATCCATTTGTGCATCCAATTTAAGAATTCCCGTTATAAATGTATTGTTATAGAAGCCACTGTAATATGAAACGCTTGCATATTCACGTCTGCTACGGAGGCTTCCAGCAGATATCCAAAAGATTAGGAACTATGGAGAGGATATTGAAGTTTAATGACTGTACTTGAATCAGCAATTGGTACATTAAAAAGGTCAGCTGAAGCTGAGGAAAACTGGCTTTTCAGAGGACAGGTAGCCTAGCAACAAAGTCACTCGGTCAGATCTGTAATTTCATTACCAGGACTGATGAAGTCTTATGATGGGGGACCAAGACCATTAACAGGCAGCAGCTGCTACACTCCCGAGGTCCACTTTTCACCAGCTCTACACAAGGAAAACTAGTGCAGGAGTTTAGTAGCACAAAAAGAAACACACACACACACACACCCAAACTTGGGCAGAGAATCCCAAGAGAATGGCAAGGAGGAAGAAATGGGTGGTATTAAGGATATTTGCTGACTGGTCAAAAGTATAAAGCACAGTTGCATGTGTGATCCCCGAGCAGGCTTAAAACACGCTGCACTAAACCAATTATCACAGCCACGGGTGTTAGAGACACCTGGGAGCTTGCTGGACTTTTGAAGGCATCAGGTTTAAGCGATTCTAAGTTACAGCAAAACTGGTTTTGCGTTTGGAATGCAAACTCAAAAGGAGGAGCAGTACCACAAGAGAAGCAGTCACAGTGCCTCCTGAAATGTAAGAACTGTACATAATCCAAACAGCCTGGCCAAACAGGAGCCAGTCAATCACACTGCAAATTCGGTCTGAACACTTCACAGACCTTTGGCTGATGCAGGCATACTTTACAAGTAGCCAGGAGCTGCTAAACTCAGTATTAACTTTACGCATGGAACCCTTAAAAAAAAAAAAAAAAAAACACCACCAAAAAAACAAACAAACAAAAAACAACATAAAAACCCCCACCACAACCAAAAAAAACCCCACCAAAAACCAAAAAACACCACACACACACCACACCATACAATTTTATTTCACGTAAACTGGGGAAGGCCCATCAATAATCCAAGGGCTGCTGTGGTGCCAGCGGTGAAGTAAAGCATGAGGTCAGAAAATGTACCAAATCTATTCCAAGTTAACAGCATGACAAGGAGATAGTCACCCTAACCTAAGGCTGCTGTTCTCTTCTAAAGTTCTTCGTACATAACTGGTCAATTTAGGGGGTTTGCAGTATACATTACTTAAAATCAAGACTGAAATAAAAATCAGAAATACTGATTTTTCTACAGGGTTGAAAGCAACATGTAAACTAGGATTAGGATTATTAAGAAGTAGATCTTAGAAGTTTTCTGCCATTGACTCAAGATCAGGTAATTCCGTCCCTCCTTTGCAGGAAAAAAATAGTAACTCTGAGTTAAGAAATCACTTGATGGACATATTTTTTGAAACCTCGAATTATGCAATTAAAGAACAGCTATGCTTGAAAAAAATCTGTGTAGCTCAGACAACCATACAGTTTTCAGCGAGTGCCCAATTCCACTGGACTACAACAGAGCCATTAACGTTGTCAAGATGAATGTACCGAGATGTCACAAACACCCTTCTTTACTGTAAGCTATTATTTCATTTTTGTGCTTCAAGAACAAGATGACAATACCAGCAATATTAACAGTAATTGCTATTTATACAGTGCTTCACATTCATGACACTCAGCTGAAGGTAATTCTACATTCAACTCTTGCATCTCCTTTGTGGCTCCAGTGCTTTCATTAAAATAAAAAAAAGAAAAAGAAAGAAACTTTCTGTCAGATGAAGACATATTTCTATGCAAAATGTTGTGAATATATAAGAAAGCTCAAGACTGCTAATTAAATCACCAAACAAAACAGAGTATTACTCTGCTTCTGGAAATGTTTTACATATGTGCCAATATGGAAAAATGTCTTCCTAGAAGAAGAAATTGATTTTCCAGAAATGTTAGTTTACAGTGAGTAAACTGAAAGTTATTGCATAGTATCTATGCCAAAAATACCTTTCATGAGTGGAAAAGGTTTCCTTCTTCCTTAAAGATACCCAAACATACTATCAACTGGCAAGGAGAAAGTAGCAAACAGGAATAAAGCAAGAGTATGCTGCTCTTACCAGTCTAGCACAGAAGTAAGCAAAATCTATGCTGTGTGCTAACTTTCCCAGTTACAAGCATCTCTTTACTCCCAACTACAAGCTGGAAAACAACAAAAATATGAGGAAAGAGAATAGGAAAAGGATTTTTTTTTTTCCCCCCACTCTGACCAAATATTTCACAAATTTAAAATGGAATAATTACTCAAGGTTGAAGTAGTTAGAAGTGGCTACAAATTCACAAACTGCTTTATTTCAAATGAAGGGTTTCCCCATCAGCACGTGTAAATTCTGAACAACCACTAACCCTAAAAATTCAGTCTGGAATCTAAAAAAAACTCGAAGGCAATCTTTTCTTCTTTTCATGTATCATCACAAGTAACATTTTCAATAGGTCATTCCTATGTATTCTGCTTTCCACGTGTAACCACCGTGCTCATGAAGACCTATTCAAGCAGCTGATTGCCACTGGAGGTGAAATAAAAATACAGTATTCCTGATGAACAACACAGACTAGATTTCTACAGCTAGTTAACTTGGCAGATTTAAAACTCATTAAAAAAAAATAGTGAAATCTTTTTCATTATGGAGCTGGCAGACCACTTTGATTTAAAAAAGCCTAACATTTTTAGAATAGCACCAGGAAAAAAGGAAGAAAAAAAAAAAAATCAGCACAGCATTACTAGTCAGCTACAACTTCTCACTCTTACATTTTTAGGTATTATCACTTTGCATATGCAATAGCACTAAAATTCAAAGGACAGGAACTTGGACTCTGCAGAGATACTATATCAATTTTACGAGCAAGAAAATGGAGGGACAAAGACCACAAGGTGTGCTTGCGTCAACACGAAGAGCATGCAGTTTATATTTAATCTGCTGTAAATTAGGGGGTGGGGATGGAGGAGGAAACACCCAGAGGTGGCAGCCCTGCCCCTGCTTCCAGCTGTACGTTCCTACCGCTTCCCTGGAATGTTCTCCCACAATTACCCAGCTACAAGATGAACCCGTTTGGGGTGCTGATCCAGTAAGAAGTCGTGCCTTTTTCGTGGGTTCATTTTTCACCTGGTCAGTGCGCTGGTCTGGCAGACAGCCTGCAGTGACACCCAGTTACACGCCACGTCTTGCTTCGGAATCCACAAACCAGAAGCTCAGTTGGTAGGTTCCCAAGGAAGAACTATAGTGCCGAGATAGCCTAGCAGAAAGGATGACTGCCCGCTCAGCGTCACCTGCTCCTTGGCTTATCTTTATGTAGAGGTATATGAGGTGAACAGTAAGATAATTAGCTAAAATTACTTCACGCTCCAGTTCGGATGTATGAAGCCTTAAATCAGAGAAGTAATACAGGTTTTCTACCCTGGCTGCTTTTCTTGGCTGTGTGTCAACCCGAAAGAATGGTAATTAGTAAGGCAGGCAGGACAGGATCTAGCAGAACTCAACAAGAAATCCAAAACTTTCAGATGCCCATCTGTCTTCTCTACATAATCCTGTCCTCTATGTAATCTCTCTCATCAGTTGTTTTGAAGCTTAACTAAAATCTGGAAATAGCCTTTCAAAAAAAAAAAAAAAAGCAAACCAAAAAACCACCAAACATTGTATTAACTTAAAGATTAAGGCAGGCAAAATTATTCTGTTTTTCAAAGAGCACAGGCAACAAGGCAGGTAAAATCTTGTACTCTATATTTTGAAAGGCTAAGGTCAAGCTGATAAATGCCAAGCATAAGAGCACAGTGGAGGTGAAAACAAAACGCTGTATTTTAATTTGTGTTGGGGTCTTCCATATCACTCTCTTGCACTGCATATGCATCAATTGTCTCATGAACACCCGTAGATCAGTTTTTGAATCATGAAGGGCTTTTCACAAAGAGACATAAATAACAATATGAGACTGACTGCACCAAAATGTTCAGTGATGCAATTGCTGTAAGTGTCAGACCCCCTTGGGCACCATGGCAGAAAGCACAGCTCAGGAAGCACTGGCAAAATCAGCTGAGCCTCCTTCACCACGTGGCTTCCACAAGTAGAATTCTACCACGGATGAAGGGACACACTGTCACCAGGTCTGCAGAGATGAACCCAACAAAACATTAAAGAAAAAATCTAGTAAGGATATGAAACACAAGGGCCTCAAATGCAAGCACGATGAACACTGGCAATGATGCTGTTATTAAGGTATCTGTGTCACAGCATTTCCTGTATTCACTCTAGATGCCGTAGAAGACTTCTTTCCAGCCTTATATCCTCACACAGATAGGTTCCTGTGAAGACCTGGCCTTTTGGCCTTCTGTCAGGAGATATCTAAAGTCCCAAAAGTGAAATACCAGCAGCCTCGAGGCTCCTCTCCACCCTCCCACCACAGTAACTCACAAACCACAAACATAGCAAAAATGCCTTTGCCTTTCTGCACCAGTCTCACTGCAATTTCCTAACACAACTGAAGGTGGGCACTGGAAAAATTCACCACTCCAGCTTAATCCGTCTCGGGCACTAAATGCAAAAACAAATAAAAAGCCAAGTCTCCCAAGAATTAAAACTTATACTCTATTTAATCAGTTAAAGCATAGCCAAGGATAGCTGCATAAAACTTGTACGAACACTGATACACACTAATTACAGTCTCCAGCTTTTTAGAAGGCATTAGTTTCTTTTTTTTTTTTTCTTTTTTTTTTTTGTGCCACAGGGCAGGAGAGAATAAATTGTTGATGCTTAAAGCAGGGAAGGGCAAAGGTGGGTTATTACTGCTCTCCAGAGCAGGCTGGAAGAGAGGACAAAAGATCAGAGCAACATGTGAAGGGTGAACAGAAAACTTTTTTCCTACAGTTCAAGGGCAAAAATAGGTGCTAAGCAATTACTAGGAAAAAAACCTCTACTCTGCCTGGCATAAGAAAATACCCTCAGGTTTTTTCTTATGAAGGCAAAAAAAGAGAGAAAAGGGCAAAGCATCTGATAGGTAAGGAAAAAAAATAGGTGTTTTGCTAAACAAAAATTGAAGAAACGGAGAGAAGGTTTGAGGTGGCAACAAGAGCTAAGAGTGTCCTGGAAAAAGGAGCAAAATTGCTATGCAGATCTGAAGAGCCTCACTTAAACTGCAAGCATGTTGTAACACTGTGGTCCCCCATTTCAGACCTCCTTTGGCACTTTACTTAAAATGCATTCTCTTTAAAATATAGATATTTAAAACACATTGTCACTTCCAGATTAATCTTCAAACAATTCTTCTGCATGAAAAATAAATTCAGAGCTTTTATTTCCCAATAGGTA